AGCATATGTCTACCTTTTATAGTTTACCCATAACAATCGTTTATGTTAAAAAAATTAAGTCCCCCCGTGCGAAGCCGGGACGGGCCGCTATATTAACATAAAATTATAGACTTAACTGGAAGTCTATGCTTTATTTGGCCTTAGCGTACAAAAAGGTTTTAGCACTAAAATTGTAATCTTCAGCAATTTTCAATCTAGTGAGCGACAAAAAAGAAAACCTACACCTAGGCTATAATTTCGTTATCAAAGTTTATAGATTAGACCGAAACTACTGACGAATTAAATGCTAATTTAGGAAAAGCCTAACTTTGATAAAAGAAAAGTTGTTCGTGAATTAAAATTCCATCTCATTTGGGCTATTTTAGTTTAGTAATTCTGTACAAAATAACTTTTACAACATAAAAAAGGACTTTAAAATGTCAGTCTCAATAATTTTAGAAAAAAATGTCAGTCAAAAAAAATAATCTTTATATTTTTTGCTATTGAGACCTAATGATCATAAATATCATAATAAAGCAGTGAGCACTTCAGAAATTTTGATATACCTACTTAAATATTTCCTTTTTATTGAAAACAACATCAATTTTAAGGAAAATTTGGAGAAAAACCCACCATGGCAATAATGGAATATTACTCGAATAAAGCCAAAAAATTCTAACAAAAATAAATTTTTATTATTTAGTTAAACGAATTTAAATTAAAGGAAAATCGCTCTTATTGTCTAGCATAGAGATTACAGATTTATATAATCGTTATAAATCTCTAAGCCCATTATAGTAAATCAGTCCGCTAATTGGATAGTATCCATTGGTAGATTTCCACGGAAGAAATATTTTAGTAAAAACAGTATTTTCGGATTAAAAAAACTTTAATTACTTTATGTATCTAGGTATATATCGATTATTCTTTAACGAGTAAGCGAAGTAAGAGCTATCGGGCTTAGTGTCTAGGTCGTAGTAGGTATTATTGAGAATTATTTGTTATTTTTAAATTCTGTAATAACCAATTTTAACACAGAGAGAAAAGAAAAAGAGATTTTTTATAATACGTAATACTCATATGTAACACAGACAACGGCACAGTGATACCATTAACATAATCACTGGTATGACAATTAACTAAACCACGACATGAAATTATTATACCTATGTCCCCTGAAGGCTATTCCAAATCCTCAACAAAATATTACCCGTAGTTCATTTGCTCGTAGATTTAATTGATATGTTTAACTTGATATATCTAAGGCTTTGCTTGTGTGTTATTTTTTTTTAAAGATTGTAATCCTGGTTTTGATATTGGCTGCTGTATAATTTAGATAATGTTTGTTCAATCTCTACTCAGAACGGATTTGATGAAAGCTCGAAATCATCCAGCACACGCTTATATGATTTAACTCGTTGAGTACAGTTTAAGAACGGAAAAACATCTTTATTTCACGCTAATAAACAAGTGACATGTACAGATGTGTTATTCTATTATATACATAGATACTGATAGATACATGTTCATGTCCCAAGTCTGCCGTGAAATGAGACCAGTTCAGCATGTGCAAGACAGGGCCTTGCGCTAGTATTATACTGGCCCCTTAAGTGACTCGCGGACGAACAAGCAACAAGAAAAGTAACCTTGTAAAGATCAATGTAATAAAGATTAATAAATAATTCCATAATAGTTTTTAAAACTCATACCTATATAGACATAAACATTTGATACCACATTTTTTTTGTTGTTATTTATGTTTTTAAAAAAAACGTTGCCCCACATTAGGATTTTCTCCTGTGTCGTGGTTGCGTTTACAAACATACAAGTTCACATACACAATGACACCCAGACCCGAAACAACAATTTGTGGATCACACAAAGTCACACAAAGACACATGTCTTCTTATAAGATAAACAAACACACACAATCAACATTTTATACTAGGCAGTTTAATATTATATAAATAGGTTCGCGTGTTCGCAATACATTTTAAACTTTGGCTTGTTTACGTGGGCCATGCTCAGTCACGCACGCGCCATGCATGGTTAGTGACCGCGAACTCCAATTAATGTATTATTAACCCCCCCCCCAACTCAAAGAGACCTTAACTTAGCACCCAGTTATTAAAGATTGTTAAAGAATTAACCAATAAAAAACTTTATATACATGGAAGGTAGTAAAAACTCAACTATTATTACAAGAGATTGTCGCAAAACGCGATGGCAGTTTTAGTTAATACGGTACTTAAAGTAAAAGGGGTAACTATCTTTGATATTAATTTCCGAACTAAATATACATAATGAGCTGTGTAAGTGGGGAAGAGCTATGCTTCGGCACGAATAGGCAGGCTTAACCAAAATGATACCAAGGCCTCACAGAAAACTGACGTGAAACAACGCTTTTCGTTGTGTTCCGTCGTGTGAGTGAGGTTACCGGAGGCCCAATTACCCTCCAATCCCCAGTCTCCTCAATTTCCGAATCTCTCGCAATCCTCAAATACCCAATTCCCAAAAGGCCAGCAACGCACTTGTAACGCCTCTGGTGGTTCAGGTGTCTATGGGCGACGATATGATGGCTTACCATCAGGTGATCCGTCTACATGTTTACCAGCTTAACCTATAAAAAAAACTGTCGTACCTAACCGTACTAACGTTACCCAGTTCTTCACTTAAACTTTTATAAAGTGAAGCCTTTCCACAGTTCCATCAGTGAAAGGGAAAATCCTCTGACCAAGCATGTGCCTATTATACACGTGAAGCAAATATAAAGCTTCATGATTATACCGGGCAGTTTGGATACTTTATTTATTCTATACGTATACGCCTGTAAATTTTACTTATGAGAAGTAGAATTTGGTCTGCGCCTTCTCAAGAGATAAGAATCCGCTCGAGATAAGAATAAGGATGTCAACAGGTAAGGTAGGTATAAGTAGATGACTAATTTTTATTTTAATGTCCGTCTAGTAGATTATTTTGAAAAAAATTTTTAAAAATACGTGTGTAATACACGTATTTTTAAAAATTTTATAGAATCGATTGCTTCCGACGATACATTGATTTGAAATGTCGTGTGACGTCACTTCTATGTACATACATTTTATACGTAGAAATGACGTTTTAGCCCCCACTCCTAAACTTTGATTCGTTTTATCTAAGTATCATTTTATTATACAACAAATTAAAAAATTACATGTCTAATATTTTAAAATTACCTAAATAACGGACTAATTCGATTTTTAATTTTCATACCCTGTCGTCATCCCTATTATAGCGACAGGCAAATATTAAAGCAAAGAGGTGCAAATAGCTAAAGAAATGAAACTCAATTCACATATTCGTATTATGTGGCTTCAGGCATATCAAACATTATTCACAAACGAGCTTCAAAGATGACGGTGAATGCTTCGCACTCAATGCATCTCATTGCATGATATATGAACCTTCCCAGATGATTCACGAGCAAAATTGCAGGATCTTTTAACGTGGCAAGCTTAAATCCGGGCGTAAACCTTTCATGATATGATGTCGTGACGGCTTTAGTAGATGCATTAGTTAGGTATATAAGTACTCCTCCTGTTTATGCTTCAGTACTGTTTTATATTTTTACTGTCCTGACTCTAGGAATAAATGAGGTATGTGTATTTTTGTTACTGGAAATCTTAGTCGAGATTTATTCTTCAGATTCTGTCTGTCTGTCGCAAGTTGAGAAATGCAGCAAACAAACTGATCGTATCAAAATTATATTCAAATGTAACAATAATAAACAAAGTACTACAGTCATTGTTAGTTTCAAATAAAACCTCACCATTAT